CACAGTTTTCCAGCCTACCTCGTTGCACTCTGTACGATGATTTCTGTCGCCTGCTAGAGAGCCAGCAATTTTGTGACGTAGAGTTCATCGTTGGCGAGGTTGCTCCTTTTTTTTGTTCTTTCTTTCTTTCTTTCTTTCGTTCATTCATCTTTTTTTTGGCTTACTTGTTCCTTAGTTCATTTATTCAGTCAGTCAGTCATTTCTTCCAACCGTTCATTCATTCATTCATTCATTCATTCATTCATTCATTCATTCATTCATTCTAGCTACCAACCATTCGTACATTTTTTTATTCAATCGATCAATCAATCAGTCAATCAATCAGTCAATCACGATCAACTAACCAATCACGTGACAGTCAGCTGATCGTATCCCCGCCCACAAGTCAATCATCTCCGCCAGGTCGGAAGTGTTGAAGGAGAAAATTTTATCTGCCTCCAGGGAAATGGTGGTTATTATTATTTTTATTGTTCGCTATTATTATTGTTGTTGTTGTTGTTGTTGATGTTGTTGTTGTTGTTGTTGTTGTTGCTGTTGTTGTTAAAGTCATCATCATCATCATGACAACGGAAACAGGAAACAGTTCAACAAGCAACGGCAACGACAGCCTCGCCCTCACATCCATCATCAACATCATCACCTCTCTTCTTTCAGTCAACATCATTACTAGCACCAGCATCTTCTTCGTCATCACCATCATCATCATCATCAACGCTCTCGCCAATGATGACGCCCCCAACAAGGGCGCCCCTTTTGAAAGTTTATCTGCCCGAGTTGAGGACAAGAGCCTTCAAGTTGGTCCTTTCTTACATCTACACTGACGAGATGACGCCTAGTAAATACGGTTCGCTGATTGGTTGGCTGGCTGGTTGGTCCATTGTTTGATTGGCTGGTCGGTTGGCCGGTCCATTGATTTTTTGATTGATTGATTGATTGATTGATTGATTGATTGATCAGGCGAGGATCCAGGCAACAATTCAATCATCCTCCTCATGATGGATGTCTACAAACACACTTTGAAAGTTCGTTTCTTAGCTGTCATCACCATACCACCACCACCATCATTACCATCATTGTCACGTGACCACTACCACAATAACCGCAACAACATCATTATCATCATCACCACAACATCATCATCATCATCACCGCAACAACATCATCACCATCACAACAACAACAACATCATCATCACAACAACAACATCATCATCACCCCCACAACAACATCATCATCACAACAACAACATCATCATCACCCCCACAACAACATCATCATCGCCACAACAACATCATCATCATCGCCACAACAACATCATCATCATCACAACAACAGCATCACCATCACCAGAACATCATCACAACAACATCATCACAACAACAACATCAGTTGCAGCTGATTAGATTGGAACACTTGTGCCTCCAATACCTCCAGAACTCCATCAACATCCAAAACGTCTTAACCGCCCTTCGAAACGCAGACGACCTTGGCCTCAGCTACATCAAGGTCACGTCATCATCATCATCGCCATCATCATCATCATTAGCATCATCATCATCATCATTACCATCATCATCATCATTAGCATCATCATCATCATCATTAGCATCATCATCATTAACATCATCATCATCACCGTTGTATCGTTACTATCATATCCGCGTTCTATATATATATATATACAAGTTAATATTGCCATAATAATAATAATTGTAATAATGTAATTATTATAATATAATTATAATAATAATAATTCAGGACTACTGCCTGCACTATATAATAAAGGACCCATTGTACAGCAGCATCGTAGTTAGCAAGGACTTCGAGACGGTCAGTAAGACACTTATCATCGAAATCGTCAGGTTGTTGTTGTTGTTGTCGTTGTTGTTGTTGTTGTTGTCGTTGTTGTTGTTGTTGTTGTTGTTGTTGTTGTTGTTGTTGTTGTTGTTGTTGTTGTTGTTGTTGTTGTTGTTGTTGTTGTTACTGTTCAAGTGACTTCGTCACAAGAGTTCTATCCTAATAAGTTCTATCTTTTTGTGTACATTGAGAATGATTGGCAATCCTTTTAGGTCACTTGACGGCTTAATTAGGTTCCAATTTAGGGTATTTCAAGTTGCATAATTGCCAAATGAAAGCATTTTTTTGATGGTGAAAGCGTTTCAATTGTCATCACACACACACACACACACACCCCAGACTGAGGCAGAACCACAACAAACTCAGTGCTGATATGATCTCTAGGGCCTTCGATGTGCATCATTGTGAGTGAGTGAATTGGATGAATGAATAAATGAATGATGAATGGATGATGCATGGATGAAGGAATGAATAATTAATAATAAATGAGTGGATGAATGGATGGATGGATGGATGGATGAACGAACAGCTGAACGAATGAATGAAAAAATGCTGATTTCATTTTATTATAGTAAAAGATATTGTTTGAATGATATTTTAAAAGTGCGAATGATTTCAAAAATTGCTATCACCGACTAGTCAGTTGGTCAGTGAACTACTCTGTCAACCAGCCAATCATCCAATCAATCATCCAACCAACCAATCAACGGAGCAACAACTCATTAACATCCTCTCACCTCGACAGCCAACACTTTGGAGTCTGACATGAAAAAATTCTTAACGGAAGACGACCTATTCAGCGATATAACTCTCGAACTCAACGACTTCAAGTTCAGAGGTCATAGGTCAATATTGGCTGCAAGGTCGAGTTTCTTTGAAGCCCACCTCAGGTCCTTTCCACCTTCGGATGGCGTTATTAAGGTGGTTTTAAATTTGGGTGAATGAATGAGCGAATGAATGAACGAGTGAATGAATGAATGAATGAATGAATGAATAATCAGCCAAACAGAAATCAGACTTTTTTCACATCAACCAATCAAAATGCAAGCCTCTCACACATCGGCCAATCAAAATCCAACTAAACTCCACTCACATCGACCTATCAGATTCCGATAGAGGTCATGATTCCCCAATCACTGACGAGCCTACTGAAGTACATTTACTACGGAGATACCAACATGTCGCCCGACCACTCACTCTACCTTTTCTCAGCTTCCTCCTTCTTTGGCTTCACTAATAATAGACTGCAAGTATGTTGTAGTAGCAGCAGCAGTAGCGGTAGTAGGTAGCAGCAGCAGTAGTAGTGATAGCAGCAGCTGT